GGACCCGCTCCAAGCCGTTGGGCGCGTTGGGGCTGCTTATCCGCGACGCGGGCGTGCACGCATTCTGTTGCCGCGTTCGTGCCAAGGTGCTGGCAGCCCCAACGCGCCCAACAGCTTGGCGCGCGTCACGGCTATGTCCCGATTCCGGCCACCGTCCCCGTGACCCGCTCCAAGCCGTTGGGCGCGTTGGGCGCGTTGGAACAGCCCCTTCCTCAGCAAAAAACAAGAATTTGTCGTGACTAGACCCACCAGCAACTACTTTAGGTGAGGGGGTGAGAGACGGAGGGGATGGGGGGAGGGGCGGAGCGGAGCGGCCAAAGCAAGGATAGATTTGTTGTGTAAATCTACCTGAAGTTGTTGCTGATTCTGCACAGTGGCACAACGTGTGGTTCTCTTGTTTTTGGCCATGGAGAAAGAGGGAGTCAGAATGTAAGCATGGAGGGGGAAAGCTACAGTAACCTGGGTTTCAGATTAGTGCTGGCACCATGAACCGAGGGAAAAATTCAGTGGGGGAAGGAGAGCTTCTCTCTCTTGTTTCTCTCTCAAGGCACTAACTGAGAGCTCTTTCTTAATTGAGAGCTCTTTCTTTTTTTTTTTGATCAAATGTAAGAAGTATATTACATCAAAAAGAGCAAGGCGAGCTTGCAATACAAGCTGGAAACCAGCAGTGATTAGAGTATATACAAAAAATTCAAATAGGGAACAGACTCCCCACAAAAAAAACTAGAAGCTGAAAACAACAGGCCGGAACCAAAGAGGCACATACCCAAAGGGGCCAAAACAAGCATCAACTAAGAATAACAATGGTTAGGAAAGGAACCAAAAAAATTGCCGGGTTCCCAACCTAACCTAAAGCCAAGAATCAAAAAGAGCAAGGCCAATCCATTACAAAGGCATCAAACCGAAGACAGCAAAAGAGATGCAACCGGCTTATGAAATAAGCATCCCAGGGCATAAACGTGGAGACCATGCAGCAACCTTGCAACAACAAAAATTAGCCCAGTCATGCAGCCAACCACCAGAGAAAGGACAGGAACCCATGCACGTGATTTACATGCACGACAGCAGGAGAAGCAACAAGACGTCCAGCAGCCAGCCGACAGAAAGCAGACAACAAGCCAGACTATTGGAGCTGAAGTAAATCATCGAGCCACCAATAAAATAATCCCACGTGGAGGAGCCACCAAGCAAATAAATGAAGGTAGTAGGAGATAAATTGAATAAGAAGGGCCTAGCCAATCCGAACACATGCAGAGCCATGCAAAACCATGCAGAGACAGACGCAACTCAACCACAATGACATCATACCAAGGTGAGAGCTGTATCATGCATATCTGGAAGATCACCCAATGCCCATTTGAAAATGGTCTTGTTCATGGAAATGAAGCACAATATAGAACAGGATTTGAAATCTCCTGAATACTGCATCAACTCCTCTTGCCTTAGCATCAAAAACATGATTATTTCTCTCTTCCCAAATCAGATATACAGCGATGGCCAAGGAGACTCGTTTCATCCGAAATTCCATGTTGGACCACTTGGACTGCAACCCACGAATTGCACTGCTTAAGGTAGACATTCTTCTACCAATGCGAAGCCAAGATTTAATTTTATCCCATAAGCACACTGTCCAACTACAAGCAAAAAACAGATGGCCATGGGTCTCTTCCTCGCTTCGACATAAAGCACAAGTGGGGTCAGTAGGGGTAAATCGCAACCTATCTCGAGTTTTAAATTTTCCTATGACAACCAGCCATAGTATGAAGCTGTGTTTAGGAAGAGACCACTTCTCCCATACAACTCGATTCCAAGAGATGGCAGGTCCAACCGACCTGAAGAAATCATATGCATGGGCAAGAAAATGCCCTGTCGAATTATACCAGCTATTCATCATAGAGATACTCTCCACCTCCGAGTCACCACAGTGCTGGAAAATGATGTCCCGGACAGAAATAATTGCTTTCCATAGCGGTGAGGAGGTATGATGTGCTCTTTCTTTATTCTATGGGTGGTGGTGCACGACCGTTCTTAGTTGGTGGAGCGATTTGTCTGGTTAATTTCGTTAACGAACGAGACCTCAGCCTGCTAACTAGCTATGCGGAGGTGACCCTCCGCGGCCAGCTTCTTAGAGGGACTATGGCCTTCCAGGCCAAGGAAGTTTGAGGCAATAACAGGTCTGTGATGCCCTTAGATGTTCTGGGCCGCACGCGCGCTACACTGATGTATTCAACGAGTCTATAGCCTTGGCCGACAGGCCCGGGTAATCTTTGAAATTTCATCGTGATGGGGATAGATCATTGCAATTGTTGGTCTTCAACGAGGAATTCCTAGTAAGCGCGAGTCATCAGCTCGCGTTGACTACGTCCCTGCCCTTTGTACACACCGCCCGTCGCTCCTACCGATTGAATGGTCCGGTGAAGTGTTCGGATCGCGGCGACGTGGGCGGTTCGCCGCCGGCGACGTCGCGAGAAGTCCACTGAACCTTATCATTTAGAGGAAGGACAAGTCGTAACAAGGTTTCCATAGGTGAACCTGCGGAAGGATCATTGTCGAAACCTGCCTAGCAGAACGACCCGCGAACCCGTGGCATGACAGGCTGGGCTCGGGGGGCACCCGCCCCTCACGTCCTCGCGGGCCGTGGAGGGACGCGTCTGCGCCCTGCGCGGCTCGCAAACGAACCCCGGCGCGAGAAGCGCCAAGGAAATTGAGTACTAGGAGCGCGCCCCCGTAGCCTCGGCGTCGGGGGCGCGCCTTCTTCTGGTGATAATCTAAACGACTCTCGGCAACGGATATCTCGGCTCTCGCATCGATGAAGAACGTAGCGAAATGCGATACTTGGTGTGAATTGCAGAATCCCGTGAACCATCGAGTCTTTGAACGCAAGTTGCTTTCCCAGGGCTCCTTCGGTGGCAAGAAAACGTCGTGCTTTCCATATGAAATCAATCCAGTAAAATCAGCCATATTTTTGTGAGGCTGCCAGCTGAATTTGGGGTCATTCCGGGCTGGTTCCTATTTTTGCATATTTCCTTGATTTTTAATGGTAGGAAAATAAAAAAAAAACTTCCCAACACCGAAAAATTCTAAGATTATTTCTGGAGGTGGATTGGATTTTTTCCAACCTATGTGCAAAATTTCAGCTCAAAATACCAAGAAATGAATTTTTTAGAGGGGGTGACAGCTGGGACCTAGTAGTGTCTACCCCTGCCAGAGCTGCAATAACACTTATAGCTCTTTAGGGGGTGCCCCCTGACTGGCCATGGGGCGCGCTGGCTGGCGCCCATAGGCCAGCCGCGGGGGATTTGCGAGCTGCTGCTACACATGGACTAACGTGGGGGGCGTCATGGCCCGAAGTAACGCCGCCATCGATGACCCGTTTTCCGGCCGGCGACGACTCGATTC